TATGCTAAAAAAAGAAAATCAATCTCTTTTTTATTTAAAACTCAAACAAAATAAAGGAATAGCCACACTTATGAGAGAGCAGCACTTAGTGTTGCTGAAGAGGCAAAAATAGTTGCTGAAGCAGTAGAACAACCTCAATTTCCCAGAAACCTATACTTCTATAGGACCTGAACAAGGTTTCAGAATTCCCATACTTTACTCAGGATTTAGCTTTATTATCAATGACTTAAAAGCGAGATCTGAAGCCGCAGATAACACATGTGAGTTATTCTCACCCATTTTGAACTTGCAGAAGTGAAAAGATGGTCAACTTACAGCAAAAAAGCAGTAAAAGTTGTAAATACATCCGAGAAAGATCTGTCACAAGGCTTGCTGCATGAAATCCTTCACCTTCAAAGGATTCACAAGACAGTTTTTGGCACTGAAAGAAGCCCCATGAGACTCTGACCGTAATTTATGACCACAACAAAAATGCAACGTCTATTTACCAGTATCTGGCTCGTCATTAAACTGTTTAGTCCAGGACCATTGACTGTTTCTTTGGTTAAAAGGTCATTCAAGAGACTTGTAAACCCACTCAAAACATGGCAAAGACGCTCAACTGGTCAAGAGTGTCTTCATCATTGAGTGCATTGAAAATTATGTAGAACCTCAGGGGGGCAGATGAGGAGGGGATGCTTTGCACATGACCAGTGGGCAATGACTACGCTATGCTTTAGTATGCTATAAGGGCCAGCATGCTTTGCTAATAGTGGACCAGGACTCTGAGGGACCAGAGGAAGGCAATGGTGGCAAACCTGCTTTGAAGAACTCTTATTCAGAAATAAAGGAAAAATGATACAAGAACACAGGCAATACATAAAAGCAGAGTTTCATGATATAGATCACAAAAACTATACAGCTCTCTGACTAGCCACTAAGATATGCTAGAAAACGAAATCTAAAACACACTGACATTAACATGCAATGCTAAACACACAATTACAACCTGCTCTGAAGAGAGTTGGGACCCGCAAATGCCATCCAGTCCAATCACCACTCTGCTAGACAGGAAGACACAATCCAACCCTTCCTGACAGATGGCCACCCAGCCTCTGAATAAAAGCCCAAGAGAAAGAGGGCCCCCAGGCAGTTTTCGACTAAGAGACCAGTGACCCAGGGTTCGAATCTTCAGTCACAGAAATCTGACCTTGGGCAGGCCACTCTCTATCTCTCAGCTTTAGAGGAAGGGCTTGGGAAACTTTCTGAGGAAACGCCATTATCGGTTGCCATTAGATTGCAATGGCTTGAAGGCACACAACAACGGCTCTCCCCGTCATATGGAAATGAGGGCATTATCCTATTCAGGGTACACCTGGCCAGTTCCTGCCAAGGAGAAAGACCCTGGGAAATCACAGCAATGAACCCTCCTCCATGTTGGCTTGATCTGAACAATATCAACAACAAACCCTCCTCCGTAAATTACCTGCTTCTCTCTTTTATCTCGCCTGAGTTTTTAATTAGCTTTAATCAGTTTGTCTTTTAATCATTACATGTAGTCCGCCCATTGTTACTGTGCTTGTGTATATTGTAATTTTTATATTGTTATGTATCTATATGTTTTATGCAACGAATCAAGGAACATGAAAGGCACTGCAGACTACTTCAACCAGAGAAGTCAGCCATAGCAGAGCACC